GGAATACCCAGAGAATATAGTGCTTTCAATAAGACTTCTGTAACTTATATTGTCAGATTTAAAGTTTTTTAAATTTCTTTATTGAAAGTTATTGAATGTCACTATACCTTTGGGCCATCAGTTGGGATATCAGATATATCAATGATAACTCTAGTTATAGTGTTTAGAAAGTAAGAAAACTGATTTTATGTAGTACATGTGAACCCTAATAAGCTTCTTGGAAGTTGCTCTTTTAATGATATTTTATTTATTAATGTACTTTCTAATGGATGCTTTCCAGAAAAAGCTGAATGCATAAATATATGTTGTCCTAATAGTTCTTTTATTGGATAGATAGCTGTATGGTTACTTAGTAAATTGGCAGTTGGTACAAGGACTAAAATACAAATTAGTTATCCTGCTATCTTCTTAATTTCTGTGAAACCATTCTGTTTTCAGAAAGCATATTAATTGACTTTTTAAATTCACTGAATACAAAGATAAGAGCAGAAACTCCTGTGAAATTATGTTTTTAACATCTGAATTATTTAACCTCAAGAGCTTCAGTCATTTAAAATGTATACTTTAAAAATCTACTTTCATTAAACCACACTGCTAGACACTAGTAATATAAATATTCTCAATTGATTCAGGATTTTTGAAATTTATATTACTACCTTTATTTTTTATAAAATATCTTTGCAAAACAGATCTCTAGTTTTCCTAAGTGAAACTAGTTTCAGTGTCATGATACAGCTGGGGGTTAGTAGGCCACATATGCAAGAGAATTTTGTTCCTGAATTCAGTCAGTTCTGACCTTAGGATATTGACCTCTGCTTAGAGAGTTAGAAAATTGGGAACTAGAGGTAAAATTGCATTTCAGAATTAAAGGGAGGTGACATTTCCTTCTGATTTTTTTTGTCAACCAGGTACTTTATTTTACAAAATAAAGTTTATTAGAGTCACTATGACTTTGTATGACCCATAAATCACATTATTATGCATATATAGTTTCTGTTGCAGGAAATTTAGAATAGCCACATTTAAAATTTTCATTTGATGTGCCTGCAGGAAAGAAAGACATGTTAGAGGATGCTGTAATTCAAGTTGGAATAGTTCTAACCTAGGGCTGTTGAAAAAATAGAAGGAAAATAACCCAGTGGAGTAATATGTTAAGGGAAGCGTAGTGGAAATTGGTGAACTGTTCCAATATTCTTCTGTAGGCAAGGTACTCTGATAGTTAAAAGTAATGGAGAATGCAAAAGATTCTTCTTTCTATTCTGATTTATCAGAGGTTCTCACATTAAAATAAATATTTTAGACTAAAGGCTTAAGTTATGTAATAAGAACAAATAATTATAACAGTTTAGAAAGTGGGAGAAATAAAAGGAAAAGCCAACAAAAGCTTAACAGGAGGAAATAGGTATCTTAGAATCATAGAGACTTATCTTTTTGTGTGGCGTAGTCTTCTTGGTTAGTCTCTATAGATGATGGAATGTTTTTAAAAGCTGTGGGCCCAAATGCAGTCTTCATTTCTAAGTTACTTTATTGCGGGGCAGGGAATTTCTCTATGCTTATTAATACTTGGTTCTCAAGAGTAGGGATGTTGGTCTGTCCTATTTACTCCAGTCTTCCAAGTTCCTGGAACAATGCACGACAAATTGTAACCTCTCATTAAGACCATTTTGACCTTGTTAAATTTTAGAAATAATGGGACTCTAAACATGGCACCATTTATTTAATTTTACTTTTTTGTTGTTGGCTTTTGGGTCATACCTGCTGGTGCGCAGGTTTTGCTTCTGTGCTCAAGGGTTCTTCCTGGCGGTGCTCAGGAGGACTTTATGTAGTGCTGGGGATCAAACTGGGATCATCTTTGTGCAAGGCTTTAAGCCCTGTGCTGACTCTCCAGCCCCTATTCATGGTACTTAAGTCTAGTAGGCAACTGTCAACTCTGGTGCAGTGGGCCTTTGATATTTCAGCTTTTATTTTTTTCCTTATAGAAAGATTAGATAGGGGAAGGATTGATTCTTACACTTTGACCTGGTGTCTAGAAATATGATAGGACTTTAAAGGTAATTGGAAGTATGGGAAAATTAAATATATTTAAAATTGAGCACAAGTTTAGTTTTGGAAATAGTGAATTTTAGGTACCAAAAGTGGTTTAACTGATTAAAAATATAGGTGTGTAGTTGACTCTGACTCTGAGAGCTATTTATATAGAGATAGCCTCTTTGTAGTTGTGACAGAGCCATTTGTCAGTGGAAAGAGCTCTTTTCCAAAAGGTAGCATCTATGTAGGTTGAACAGAATAATACTAATGATCACTTTTTATTGCGCTCTTATTCACACCCACTATATTGAGCTCTTATTTACGCCCACTTTAGAGATTGATTTCATTTCATCTCCATTTCATCGTAGTTAAATATAATTCTGTTTTCCATTTTGTGCTTGAGAACATGGTTTTAGCAAAGTAAAGTCACAAAGAGTCACCTACTTATAGAGGTACATCGTAGAACGAGGCTTTTAAAATAGGTTTACCTTACTCCAGAGTCATCAGTTGGTGCCAAGAGATATAAAAATGTGCAGGAAAATGAGTACTAAGAAAAGACCGTCGAATACATCTTTTGGGATTTGTTGGTAGCACTTGAGAACTCTGATGTAGGAACTCAGTACATATTGCAAAGAATTAAGTAACAAATTAATGGAAAATAAAGTGTCTACTTATGTAATGAAACTTTAGTGAGAACCCAGATTGTGTAGAAGAGTGAGTCAGGAATGAGATTCAGCAGTAGAGCACTAACCTTGTGGTTGTGAGGCCCTGGATTTTATTTCTGGTACCATGGAAATTTAAACACACACATACACACACACACACACACACACACACACACACACACCCCTCCTCCCTCAAAATCCAAAACTGGGTTGAGAGTTTCTAGATTGGTTAAACATGTGGCAATTTGGGGAGAACTTGGAGTTGAAGTTAAGATTATTGTTTTAAAAATGCTTAGGGAAAAAGAAGAAATAAGATGGTAAGGTGACATTGTAGACCAAGATAATTTGGGACAATTGGGGAATTTTGGTGATTTTTTAATTTTGTTTTATGATACTTGTTTTTTTTTCTTTTTGTAGATTAGGTGACATGTTTACAATAGTGGCTTTGGTTTTGATACACAAAATTACTGAACCTTTATTATTGTTTTAGGATTTTATTCTTGCAGGCATGCATGCATGCATGCATTCATTTTATTTCGACAAGTATTTATTGAGTACCTATTCTATTCTAGATCTAGTTGGGAGACAGAGCAGAGCAGGGAGCAACATTAGGTTCTCACAGTCATGGAGACAGGAGGCAGGTGGATGTCGGGAAACAGCAGGAAAACCATATAGATATATGTTAACTTATAATAAAGAGCTAAAAATAGAGTAGACATGATATATATGTATATATATAAATCTCCAATTATATGATAGAAACGGTCTGTTTTAAGAGGTTTTCTGTGATTCTGAAAGAATATAGCCAGTGAGTAGGAAAAGAATTCCAGACAATAAGAACAGATAACATCTTGACTTTACTATGGGAGTAAGCTTAACACACAGGATGGTGGCTAGTGAGTGAAGGGGAAAGTGGTACGAGATTTGAGAGGCATGTAGGAGTCATAGCTTGTGGATCCTTGTAAATTGGTCTAAAGAAAATGGATTTTAATGCTAAATAATAACGGATTTTAATTCTAAATTTTTAATTCTAAATGAGATGATTTGAAACTTTTAAATGATCTTAATTAAAAAAAGTACCTTGGTAGTTGTTTGGACAATACATTGACAAGAATAGGTATGTACAAGTAAAATCAAAAGGACAAAGTTAACTAGGTTTTTGTTTTTATTTTCCTAAGAGATAATGACATGGACTGAAATTCTATTATAGTAGACCTATAAAGAAACAGGTTAGAGTTAAGATATACTTGGAGGGAGAAATTTAAGGACCAGGTGATAGATCAGATATGTTTAAGTGAAAGAGGAATCACTAGGATTGCTGAATTTGAGGCTTAAATAATTGGATACTTGTATGGATAACTTCAGAGGGAGACCTGATTATATTACATATTGAAATGAGCAAACCATTGGAAGAAGCATATTAATATTTGTAGGGGAAATAATATAGCAATGTGTCAAAAAGATGAGAACATAGGAAATAAGTGATTGAAAATTAAGTATAGGAATTAACCTTAAAAATCAGAGGGTAGGTATGAGCCGGTGGTGATGGGGTGACTAAAACCTCATGGGAAGGGGGGGCATTCCGGCGTGTCCTTCAATTGCCCCCCACGAGCGGCTCTCTGGCACAGCCACGGCCCCAGAGCACAGAAACCAATCTCTTAATTATCTGACTCTCAGCAGAAATACTTCCAGGCTTAATAAGTAAAATAGCAGAAATCCAAAACCGCGCGGCCGCTATTGCGGCCGTGCAGCATCATTTAATTCTTGAACCCAGCTGTAGAAAGCAAATCATTTCACAATGCTTTTTCAGTGGGTCTGATTTGGGGTGTAAACTCTAAATAATAATGATGCATCTTTTATCGAAACAGTGAATCTAGTCAAAGTAGATAGAGTGTTCACTAGAATTCATCTGCCTCACAGGCACTGGGAGGGGTGAGGGGGTGGGGCTTTATTGGGGTTCTTCGTGGTGAAAAATAAGTATTGGTAAAGGGAAATGTGTTTGATATTTGCATGACCGAGACCTAAACCTAAAAGCTTTGTAATTTTTCCCACAGTGATTCAATGAATAAATTATAAAAAAAAAAGAGGGGAGACAGGAGCAGGAAATTTCTAGATGAATGGAAGAAAATTGAAAAGAAAATATTGTATGACATTGGTCTTTAATATAATGCTAGACTTAGTTCATTATAAAGAACTTAATACTAATTATTTTGTGTTCCTCATTTTTCTAATTTAAATATTTTTACCTTGATTATGTTTATCACTGTATAACCTGTTACTTGTATATGTATAATTTTTTGGGGACAGGTTGTAAGTTCTACAAATGGAGAATTGAACACAGATGACCCCACTGCAGGACGTTCAAATGCTCCCATCACGGCCCCTACGGAAGTAGAAGTGATGGATGAAACCAAGTACGTGTTAGTTTTGCTTTCTTCACTTTCTGTACTTAAACTAGGCATGCTTGAGATTTATAGTCAATGTTGATAGGCCATTTGTAGTCATGGTCATTTTTAGGAGATTGTTATCCAAAAATAGGTACATGCAAAATGAGAAGTGTATTTATTTTAATCAAATAAAGCTTTTCTGGTAAGTTAGTAATTGCAAGAGCAAATCAGGAATTATATTCTTATTTAAAATGAGAATATTTTAGCATTTTTCAGGAATCTTGATGCATGAAAATCATCAGTGTATTATAAATGCTCAGTTTTTTCCTGTAAGCATAAGAATAAATTATGAATTTTACATTATGTTGCATGCATTAATAAGTTTAAAATTAATATTTTGAGCATAAATTATATATAATGTGGCTTGGGAAAAAATTAAGCATGAAAAACAATGTGATAATTTCAATGTGGGCTGTATCTGATGATCTCTCTTCCCCCCCCCTTCTCCCTCTTCCACTACCCTCTCTCCCTCTCTCCCTCTTTCTCCCCTGTATTTTTTTTTTCGTGTATGTGTGTATAGCTGCCAGAAAGTGTTGAACATGTGGTGAGTTCTCAAGTGCAGGCCGGCAGAAATAGCTCCGGTTACTATAATTTTAAAAGTTTAGCAAAACGTTGTGTTTAAAAACAAACCAAAATAAAACAAAAACATTTAAACATAGAAATTAAAATTGGTAAAAGCTGTTAAAGCATTTGATATCATTTGTTTTATCTCTGAAAAGCAAGAACTAATTGAGGAGCTCTTTTGCCTGCTGCAGCTTTTTTTTTTGCTTCAAGTGACATAGATTTGGGAGCACTTTTAACTGAATAGATGGGATACCAGACCTGCTTGTGCTTATAAATTTATTTAGTGACACAGTCTTTGATATTTTAAAATAGACAAATTTTTGAATTAATCTTTCTTTTCCTGTTTATAATTGTTAAATACGCTTAGCAGTTTTCCACCCCTACTCAATAGCATCACTAAAATATTTCATTTACTAACTATACTGTGCACATGCTATGCATGAATAAATTTCATGATAAACTATAGTGAGTGTGTCATGAAAAATCCTCATCTATTTAGTTCCTGCTGATATGTAAAAGAATATACCTGCTTAGTAGAAATGGTTTGAATTATAATTATTTTCTGGCATTTGCCTTTATTTTGGAATGCTTTAAAATGCTTCTCTCAGGGGCTGGAGAAATAGTATGGCATTAGGACATTTGCCTTGCATGTGGCCAACTTGCACAAGCAGAGTTGGGAGCTTCCAAGCACTTCTGGGTTGGTCCAAGAACTCCCCAAATTAAAATAACATTCTTCTACCAGTTTCAGAACAAATTTTGAGCCAGACTTAGAATGAGTGAAAAACCTTGTTTAGATCATTCTAAAAGACATCTCCCTAATATTCAAAATCAAGTTTATTATCTGGCTACAATATGAGAAAACATTTGTGGGTGTGAATTCTTTTAGTTGGGACGTCCCAAAAGGTGCTCAGGAGGTCTCAAGGTCCCACTGGAGTCTTGGCCATCTAGCTAACACTTCAATGCAAGGACCTTCGCATGTGATGCTTCTCTGGTGCTGGGAATGATCTGGGCCACAGTTACAGTGCTGGATGCATCCGTGGTCAAACCTGTCAGTGCCTGGGGACAGCTTCTTTTAACATTCAGGAGACCATATAATGCCAAGAATAAACCCAAATTGGGCAAGTGCCAATACTACTAGTACTTAACTAGATAGTTCTTTTTTCCCCCCCTTTCTTGGAGATCACACTCAGTGATGCTCAGGACTTGCTCCTGGGCTCTGCACTCAGGAATTACCACCGGTCAGCCACTTGAAAGACAAGTGCTCAACCCACTGTACTATCACTCTGGTTCCTGGATATTTCTTTTTAAAGAGCACTGTTCTGGCATCTTTTTAGTTAATTTGTTTGTTTGTTCTGGAGCTTTACCGGCTGTTCTCAGAGATTATTACTGTCTCTGTCCTCAGGGTTATTCTTGGTGGGACTTGGGGGATGGAACCCAGGTTGGCTGTGTGGAAGGCAAGTGACCTACCCACTGTACTATCACTCCAGCTCTCATTTTAGTTACCTTTGACTAAAGGTACTTATGTACAGTATAACTTAGCTTAGAGGGTGTCAATAATTAGTAGTAAGGTATATAACTTGTGCATTTTTATATAAAAATAAAAACAATCATTCCTTCTTTGAATTTTAAGTACAATTCTAAGCAGTTGAAATGGTACTATAGGTGATTGGAAAGCATGGATTGCAGTTAGAGTTTGTAAACTCTTAATCCTGCCACTTGTTTATAACTTCTTCCAAGCTGCTTTTTTTTTTTTTTTAAATAATGAAACTATTACCTATCTCTTGAGCTTCCTAAGAAAACTAACTGATTTGCGAGAGCACTGGCCTTTTCTCTGGCACATGGGCAGTAGTTCATAGCTGTTATCACCCCTTTTTATTTCTCCATCTTCATCTGCCACCAGCCTTCTTCATTTGTTCTTTCCAGGGTTGTGCTTCTTCCTGGATTGGCCAATATTTTTACTACTCTGTCCTTGCTAATCACTGAAAATGTCTGTTCTGTATGTCCGCCCTCCTACGGATCTGCTTTCAGCTAGATCTATGCTATTTCCCATTTATGAATTGAACAGTTGTAACAGCTGGGATTTCAGAGACACCTTAAAATGTTCTTGCCCTTAAGTAGAATATACACCAGCAGTGAAGATTGCAGTTGTATGAATAGATGGCAGATGCTATATAAAAGGTATTTTTAAAAACCCATTAGAGCTTGTACTGTAAAAGATTTACTTGGCAGCATGATCAGAGGAAGCTTTGTAGAGGTAGTTCTGAAGAATGACAGTAAACTTATTTAGTAAAATGGGTATGGGTGTGTACGTTTATTGGATTGGGTTTCTGTCTGTAGGCATTGGAAATTCAAATAAAAAGAATTGATCGGAATGTTATTTCTGAAGGGAAGGTTCTCTGTGGCATGGAACATCATGTCCAGATTTTTTGGCCCAGCACCACAGCCCTTTCTAGCTTAGGAAAGCTAGTCTGCCTGTCTTTGCCAGCCTCATTTTCCTTTCTGCACCCTGTGTGCCATTGATTCCTTTAGTCTGCCTTCGATAGATTGTGTGTTTTTATTTATTTATTTTTTAACTCTATTGAATCACCGTGAGATAGTTACAAGCTTTCATGTTTGGGTTACAATCACACAATGACACACAATGATCAATACCCATTCCGCCACCAGTGCACATTCCCAACCACCAATATTCCTGGTATACCCCACTTTCCCACCCTCCCCCTTGACTCCATGGCAGACATGATTTCCCATAATCTCTCTCTGCCATTGAGCATTGTGGTTTGCAATACAGACACTGAGAGGTTATCATGTTTGGTCCTTTATCCACTTTCTGTACACATCTCCCATCCCGACCAATTCCTCCAGCCATCTTTTTCTTAGCAATTCCTTCTCTATTCCAGCTGCCTTCTCCCCTTTGCTCCTGAGGCAGGATTCCAGCTATGCAGCAAGATAGATTGCGTGTTTTTTTTTTTTAAGAATCTAGTTAACTTTTTTTTTTTTTTGGGAAATGCCTTAAATTTCTTAAAAACAAGGCTTTTTCATCTTTAGATTCCTGATGTTTGTGAATATTCCTCAAATTTTTATGACTAAATGACTAAATAATGAATTCTGTTCATATAGTAGATTATTATTGGTAACATTAAAAAAAGAATTTGAAACACTTTTTACTTCTGAGTGAAAGAAGCCAGACACAAAAGGCCACCTTGAATGATTCCATATATAAGAGATGCCTACAATAGGCAAATCTGTGGAGGCAGAAGTAAAATAGTGTTTGCATGGAACAGGAAAGGACAAGATGGGAGTGACGGGTAGGAGGTAATGTGTCTTTTTTGTGATGAAGATAGTTTGAAGTTAGTGACGATGACCACAGAACTCCTGTACATGCTAAATTTAGTGAATTGGATACCTTGTCAAAAGCTTATATTTCATGATACATGATTGCTTTTATTTAAAAAATATTTTTGTTTTCAGGGCCTCATTTAACAGTGTTCAGCAACTATTCTTGGCACACTACTTGGGGGTTGCTCCTGTTGGTGTTTGGGGTCCATTCCATGATGGGGATTGTATCCCATGCCTTCCAAGTGCCAAGTATGTGCTCCGACTCTGAGCTCTCCCTCTGATACAGCATTTACTTTGGATGAATGAAAACTAGCCGATAGTCAAGTAATTCTCAAAATTTCACTAACTCTTCACTGGTTAAGTGGGGCAGAACATACAGGGTTGCCAGGGATTGAACCCAGATCAGCTGCATGCAGGCCTTATCCCCGTCCTATATCTTCGACCCAGTATAAAGTGATTCTTAACCCTGCCTCATATCACAGTCACTGGGGGGAGGGGGTGGTGGTTAAAATTATACCACTATATTTTGGGTCACATTCTAGTTATTAAACTCTTGTTAAAAAAATATTTTAAGATGATAATATTGGGCTATCTTTTTAGTTTCTACAACATATTCAGTTAGCACATCATGTTTCTTCAAGATCACAATTCAGTGAGGAAACAAAAAAAAATTATAGTCAGTGTAATAAAGACCACTTAACCATCTTCTGAGAGGGAAAACAGATTTTTGGCTCTAGGAAGAACATGGGCAAAGATTGGTTACCTTGAAAGACCTTGTTGCATGAGGTTGGAGTAGAATGTGGATTTTTGTTCTCATTCTGTGGCATAGATACAGAGGAACTCTAAAGATGGACAAGAGGAAAGTGGAAATAGATTGAAACATTATATTAAAGCCCAAGCAAATAAGTATTGCTTGGTTTTTAAACCTTAGATAATGGAAAACCATTACTAAGACTTACAAGGATAAAAGACAGTATTTATATGAAGGGGCATTTGGTTTTCTGTTATTTTTTGTTTGTTTTAGAAAGTAACAAAGTTTATGTTTTGGATGGCAGATTGGAGAGAGAATAAACCGAGACTTGTATGTCAGTTAAAAAACTCCTAGCAATAATAGAGGCAAGTTGAAAAGTTCTTGAGTATGCTGGAGGACAATTTAAAAGTCATTTTAGTTTTGAAAGACTAGTTACAAGTGAATGAGTAGATCGGAGATGAGGGTGGGTCTGCAGGTTCATGATTGGAATATATGGGTGTTCTCCTCTGATACAAACTCTTTGCTTACCTACAGATTTTATTTATTTGGGTTTTGTCCCTCAGCAGTGTTATGGGGCTTTTTATGGCTCTGTGCTCAGGATGACCCGAGTAGACCTTGGGGAACCATATGCAGAACTGAGGATTAGAACCAGGTTGGCATGGGTAAGGCAAATGTCTTACTTATGTCCACAAGAAATGTAGATATGAAATTACACTTTAGGTATAAATTTTAAGGGGAACATATATTGTCAAAGTTAGACATCACGAGATAATTTTTCCTTGTACTTATCAACCCCAGTTAAAAGAGATTAGTTTCTGGAGTCCTTGTGGATAGGATTGGGTAGGTACCAAAGTCTAACAATCAAAGGACAGGTTAAAGAAAGGATAGAG